TCCCACAGCCCCTTCTTATTCTGCAAGCCCCACTTTTCCCTAGATTTGCAGAGGTCAGCTGCCAGAGCCTGCCCAACACCCCTTCCCTCCTTTGTGAAATCTCAATAGGAAGAAGGCCACAGGTGTTAGGGAAGAAATCTGTTTCTCTGAATATTTAGTTTTAGCCTAAATAGCTTCTCCAGACTTCAGGCAAGGCGGGGGCACACAACAGCATGGTGGCTAAATCCTCACCTTGCACAGGCCAGGATCCCACATGGTACATGTCCTGGCTGGTCTACTTCCCCTCCAGCTCCCTGTTTGTAGCCTGGGATCACAGTTGAGGACAGCCCAAAGCTTTGGGAACCTGCACCCACGTGGGAGACCCAGAGGAAGCTCCTCCTATTCCTGGCTCTGTAGCAGCTCAGTTCCAGCTGTTGTGGCCACATGGGGAGTGAGCCAGCAGATAGAAGAGCTTTCTCCCTGTCTCTCCTTCTCTCTATAAATCTGATCTGCTTTCAAATAAACATAAACAAATCTTTTTTTAAAAAATTCTCTCTTGGCAACCCAGCGGCCACTGTGACTGGGCCGTGGTCCTGCAGGTCAGCCCCAGCTCCAGGAAGGAAGGCAGCCATGAAACTTTTTAGACCACCTCATTTTGCCTAGCTTCAGTGCTCCCAGGCCACCCTAGGTCGTGTGACTTTTGCTACTGGCTGGTTTTCCATGCCAAGTGATCAGGCATGGAGTACGGGTTAGGGGCGCAGTCAAGCTGTCAAAAGGTACAAAGTCATCCTGTAAGCTCATTTCATGTTGTCTTGAGCAAAAGCTTGTCTGCCAAGAAAATGGGAGCTGCCTCTTCCATTCTGTTACCCTCTAACTGCTTGAAAGAAAGGAGTGGAAGGCAAAAGCGGGGAAAAACTCAGTGGGAGCTTGTCCTAAAAGCAGGGGAGGGCATTAAAGCTCCACATTTTTGACAGTCTCAATCAGCTCTGGGGTTTTTTTTGCCCTGGTAGTTGAGGGTAGACCAGCAGAACTAGGTACAAGCTGCCCCCTGCTGTCTGATTTAGTAAAGTGCATGAAGTGTGCACTTCTATGTTTTGTGGGTTTGTTTTTTGTTTTGGTTTGGTTTGGTTTGGTTTTTAAAAGATTTATTGTATTTTTATTAGACATTCAGATATACAGAGATGAAGAGAGACAGAGAGGAGGATATTCTGTCCATTGATTCACGCCCCAAGCAACCACAACGGTCAGTGCTGAGCTGATCCGAAGCCAGGAATCCTGAGCGTCTTCCAGGTTTCCCACACCGCTGCAGAGTCCCAAGGCTTTGTGCTGTCCTTGACTGCTTTCCCAGGCCACAACACAGGCAGGGAGCTGGATGGGACGTGGGGCCATTGGGATATGAATCAGTGCCCATATGAAATCCTGGCTTGTGCAAGACGAGGACTTTAGCCACTAGGCCACTGTGCCAGGCCCAAGAGTGTGCATTTGAATGGAAAATGTGTTTTAAACACCAGAGGTGACTGGGAAGCAACGGGGTCATGGTAGACAGGCTCCCCAAGCCAGGAATGTCACAGTCCACTTCCAGCCTTGCCCATGTGAAGAAGCAGAGAGGGCAAGAAACTACTTCCTCAGAAAATGACAGGATTTAGATTTGGGGAGTTGCAAAATTTCGCCATTTACAACTTGGTTTCCCATAATAGCTCCTGGGACAGTAGGATCATCCAGGAGCTTGTTAGAAATGCAGTTTCCTGGGTGCCCTGACCTAGGCTCTGCAGATTAACAGGCTCTATCAGAGTTACCATGCAGCTTTACAGAGGAAAACTTATTTAAGGTTTGTTGATTTACTTGAAACTCAGTTAGAGAGAGAGACCTTGCAGCTGCTGGTTCACTCCCCAGATACCTGCAATGGCCAGGTCTGGACCAGGTCAAAGCCAAGAGGTTCATCTTTTGCTTCTCCTAGGCCATCAACAAGAAGCTGGATCAGAAGTGGAGCAGCCAAAATACAAACCGGTGCCCGTATGGGAACAAGACCTGGTGCCTGCATAGAGTGCTGGCATCCCAGGTGGTAGCTTTGCCCATGATGCCACAACACCAACCCCCATCCGTGAAAAGTTAGGCTTGGAGAACACTGGTTGCCCATCCTGCTGGTCTGTTTGATTTGAGCAGGAACAGAGAAGACCAGCAGGTCCCATAAAGGTGGTGTGGGAAGAGGATGGATTTCACAGTTTAACCCCTGGAGCCAAATGGGGCACCATTTTGTGCAGGGAGACAAAAGATATGGGAGAGGAATGCACATGCATGCACTGAGCTGGGAGTGAATTCATTTCTGACTTGGTGAACTGCAACAACGTAGCATCCTACAGGTTCCACCCAAGATATGTCCGGGCAGCTCCCAGACCTGATGACCAGGAGATCAGGAACTCTAGTATTGCACATCAGGTGCCATTTTGTATACTATGGCAAAAGCTTTAAGACTGCAGGGACAAGAGTGAGCTGCACATGCAAACTCACGGAGCTCAGTGCATTGCCTTGGTCCCACGGGGAAAATAATACCAATTTTGGCATTGTACGGGTCAAAATAGGTCGGTGTAGCCCTCAGACCTAATAGCCAACAGGTTCCAGCAAGGTCAGCACCACCAACAACTAGCTATATAGGACACCTGGTGTCTCCTTAATCCTGGGACCTGCTCCAACCAGAAGTGGGAGAAAGTTGTACAGACAATGTTGCAGTCTTAGCACGGTATCACAGGAATTGGAGAGTGGTGACCCAAGAGCTGGGGCTACAGAGACCATGGTGGAAATCTAACATAAGAACTTAGACCTGGAACTCACTGGAGGGAATGGCACAAGTGACTGCAAACAAACAGTTACAACCACAGGAAGTAAAATTGAATTGTAGACCTATGGGTGACACAGCTTAGAAACCTGCCCCAAGGAGAAGAATCTGCTAACCAGAAGTACAATGACCAAGAGCAAAAGAAGAGACAAAGACACAATAAATATTACTGAAGACTTTCCTGCAAAGGAGCAGAAACTTTTGGCAACCTTAGAGTTAACTGAAGAATACATTGAGAAAATGGGGGATACAGAATTCAAAACACTTGTTATAAAGCTTCTTATCAACAATAAGAAGCACATAACATAGGAGTTCAAGGAATTTAAGGAATATGTCACACAGGAAATGAATCAAATGAATGCTGATATATCAAATGAAGAATACAGTGGAGCGAATTAAAAGCACAGTGGAGAGTCTCCAAAATAGAATGAAGCAAGCAGAAGAAAGAATCTCAGAACTGGAAGATATTTCCTGTCACCAGGGGGAAACAAACAAAAAACTGGAAGCAGAGCTGGGTAAAGCCCCCCTCCAAAAAAAAGGTATTCAAGAATTGAAAGACATGATTAAAAGGCCAAATATAGGAGTTAAAAGGTACAGAAAGAGAAACTGGGTCTAAAGGTGTATTGAATGAAATAAGGGAAAATTTCCCTAATCTAGAGAAAGAATTGGGAAACAACATCCAGGAGAGGCACAGAAGTCCCAAAAGGCTTGAGCAAAAGCGATCTTTACCACAACACATGATAATCAAGCTCTCTTCCATTGAACATAAGGAAAAGAGTCTTAAATGTGCATGTAAAGAAATCTATTGACATATAAAGGAATGCCAATTAAATTCACAGCTGACATCTCACAGGAAACTACAGGCTAAAAGAGAATGGAGCAACATATTCCAGATTTTAAAAGAAAAAAATTGTCGGTCCAGGATAACATAGCCAGCAAAGCTTTCCTTTGTCTTTGAAAATGAAATAAAATCCCTCCACAGTAAAGAAAAGTTAAAAAAATATGCCTCTTCCAAACTTGCCCTATAAATGATACTTAAAGGTGTTCTCTTGACAGAGAAAAGGATAGCACCCACCAAAACCAAAGGCAAATATGAAGAACATCCCAGTAAAACAACAACAGAAGACTAAAACAATTAACAAACCTTTGCTAAAGTGACAGGACTAAATTACCACCCATTCATATTAACCCTGAATGTAAATGGCTTAAACTCATCAATCAAACATCATAGATTAGTAGACTGGATTAAATAAACAAAACCCGTCTATTTGTTGCCTACAGCAGACATACCCCACCAACAAAGATCAGGGGAAGCTATGTCTCATGGATTTTGATTTTTTTTTTAGTTTCATCTCTTCAAAACAGTTTCTCATTAAATTCTTCAATGACTCATAGATCATACATTAGCATTATTTTCTCCAAGAAGGTTCTTGATTTTCTTTTTCATTTCTCCAGTGACACATTAGTCATTCTATAGCATGTTATTTAACTTCATGGCGTTTTTTGTTTCTTTTTTGCTTCCTGTTGTTGGTTTTGTTCTGTGGCTTTTCATTTAAGGGAATGTAGTAACTTGTCATGGAGACTGTCATATCCAGTAGCAGATTATTTTTCATGGTTTTGTAAATTTCTATTTTTCTTCTTGTTGTTGATTTTGTATTGTATCTTTTCATTTAAGGGGATGTATAGTAACTGTGTAATGGAGACTATCCTATCCAAAGCGAGGATACAATGCATCTCTACTTCCAGACTAAAGATGGACTCCCAGTGAAACTCTTAACTGTATCTTGACAATAGGATGCTGTGCTCTCTGCCATTGTCCATGTCTGCAATGATGGACATATGACTGTTTATGAAGAACTATGCTATAGTAATGATATAGGGGAACTCAGTGGGGTGGGTGGGGAAGAGACTTGAGAAGATGGTAAGGGAAATTCCAGGGCCTATGAAACTGTTCCATAAAATGATAATAATAACATTAAAATTTTTTTAAAAAAACAAAATCAATCTTTTGACAGGCATCCAAGTTCATTTCTGGCAGCCTTTGTGTGGGCCCCTCCCATCTTCTCTCACACTAGCCTCACCCTTGCCGTGATGTTGGCACATGATCAGTGCACCTGACAGGGTCCAGCTGGGCCCCAGTGGCCATGTCAGTCCCACTGCTAAGCTGTAGTGTTCTTTTCTGTACCAGGTCAAAGAAGAATGCCGGCTCCTCAACGCCCCACCTGTCCCACCCCGAAGCGCCAAGCCTCCATCCACAAGCCCCTCCATCCCTCCTCGCACCGCCAAGCCAGCACGGCCGCAGACTCGCTCTCCCAGCCCCACCTTGTCCTACTACTCGTCAGGGCTGCACAACATGTAAGTCTTATGGACAGGCCCTTGGCCGCCTCAGTTCCTCCCCTGGTTCCCGAGAGTCTTTTTCAAGGTCACCAGTACCTCGCTGGGTAGATGGGGAGAAGTTGTTTCATGATTGTATCAAAAGAGTATGCTGTGGTTCCTGTTGGTTTTGAGTTCAGAGGAAAGGGCTGGTGTCCTGGGAAGAAAGGCTGCCCCAGGTAACCGAGAAATACAGTAGTAAAACCAAGTGGAGACTCAGGCGATCGCCCTTGAATACTCCAGCATTTGCTAGGCAGTATCCAGTTCTTCCCACTGGGGCAGCACCCAGGCCTCCTTCACTGCCTCACCTGGCTTCCCCTCCCCTGCCCTCCATACTGCTACAGGACAGCACAGTACCTTCCATTGTCGGCAAGTGCCAGCACTTTTTGAAAAATGCAAATCTTTCATATGATTGAGTTAAGCTCTACCTTTCTCCATGTAACCTTCAACTATTGTCTAAAGAAACAGATTCCCCCTCCGCCCTGTTCTCATGGGCAGCCCATGATAGTATGACATTAGCTTTGATATATGATGATTCTATGACATACTATGATTCTCCTCCAGAAGCAACAGCCTCGGTTCCAGGGGTTGTTTCCACTGTCTGCTCCCCTTGTCAGCCTGACGCCCACCTTGCACACACAGTGCTTATGCTGTTGCTTTTGCATTGTACGGGCTAAAGCAGCTCTTTTTTCTGTAGGTATTTTTGGTTCTCTGGACTTTGCAGTGTCAAGGCTCCTGTCACTCACTGGTAGAGAAGCCAGGCATTTATGGGAAGTGTTTCTTCCTGTTTCAGACTTGCAGGTAGAGGCAGTGTCACAGGTAATGGCATGACCAGCAGGAGGCACCCATCAACCCTCTCTGAGTCCAACCTGACCCCACTGCAGACACCACGGATTGATCTTGACACCTGTTGGTGCAAAGCTGCACGTGGCCTTCGAATTTCTCTCACCATAACGATGCAAGCACCTACTAGCAGGAGGTGCTTTTAGCTGTCTTGGTTCCTTCTCTTCTGCGCTGCTTTAAATCCTTAGGTACTTAGTCATCATTGTCCAGGTATTTTGTTAAGATTCTTAGAAACCTGGCAAGGTTAGTAGGTGCTTTATTGAATGATGAGAAATCCTAAACTTTCTTTTTTTCAACTGTACTCTTACACTTGGAAGTCACATCTGTTGGTAATGAAAGGCTTAGGATTCAGTCTGTTTTTTTTTCAGTGGTGATTATTTTCTGCTGACTGCCCTCTCTGTTTCCTTTAATACAGCGTCACTAAGAGCGACACAAGTCCTTCAGAAAGTGCTCCTGTGTCCTGCTATCCATGCACCCGCGGGAACACAGATTCTGTGGATGTGAAATCCCCGTTTGGGAGTCCTTCCACGGAGGCCTTGGCCTCCAGGCTCTCGTGGCCCAACCACTACTCGGCAGCATCCGAGAGCCAGACCCGGAGCGACTTCCTGCTGGATCCGAGCAGGAGTTACAGTTACCCACGACAGAAGACGCCAGGCACACCAAAGAGAAACTGCCCAGCACCCCTAGATTTTGACAGCTGCGAGCCCCTGAGCAGCACCCCCGGCCCAGGCACAGCAGAATTCAGTAGTGGTGTCTCCGGCTGTCCCAAGTCAGCCAGCTACTCCCTGGAGAGCACGGACGAGAGCACCGTCCCAGCTGGCATAGCAAAACAGAGTGTCTCATGCCCTGCCTTACCGCCCAGGGCTCCAAAGCCAGTGGAAGAGAAAGCCGCCTCGGAAACACCTCCCTTGCCTCTGAAAATCGATGGTGCTGAGGAAGACCCCAAGTCGGGGTCACCAGATCTCTCGGAGGACCAGTATTTTGTTAAAAAGGGCATGCAGGACATCTTCTCCATCTCCTACCCATTTTCATCCCCATTGCACCTGCAGCTGGCGCCCAGGTCCTGTGGTGATGGTTCCCCGTGGCAACCACCTGCCGATCTCTCGGGACTCTCTATAGAAGAAGTGTCCAAGTCGTTACGGTTCATCGGTTTGTCTGAAGACGTCATATCATTCTTTGTCACTGAAAAGATTGATGGGAATTTGCTTGTTCAGCTAACAGAAGAAATCCTCTCAGAGGATTTCAAATTGAGCAAACTGCAGGTGAAGAAAATAATGCAATTCATTAACGGCTGGAGGCCCAAAATATAGCCAAATAACCCCAGCTAGCATGGGACGGAACTGATCAGTGTGCGTGCTGGAAGGGCTGGGCTGGGACACAGTTTCTTGTTTTTGCACTATAAACCTTCTCTGTAAATAAGGATAAGAGAACCTTACTATGCAGATTACGTTTTTGAATGGTGAACAGGCTATTTTGTACATCAATAAAAATGTTGTACAGAACACTTACAGGTGTGCCTTGTACGTCACTCAACAGCTGCTAGAAGGAAAAAAGGAGGCATGTTCAGAGAAATCAGTTACCCAGGTAGGTTTATGTGAGAAAGTGTGATATTTATTACAAAGTAGCCAAAGCCGAAAAACATAAAAATCTGAAAAAAAAAAACTTCTGAACAACAGTTCCCTTCTTTGGAGGGAGCTGACTTTAGACAATTAACTATGTGCTCTGTGCTCTGTCATTCGGGTTGTTTAATGCTAGTTGTATTACTCTGTGCCTGAAAATGTTCACAATATGAAATGACACTTCAGTGTTACATGCTTGGTGGGGATCTTTTTCTCAAGAGGCGTTTGGCAAAAGTCATGTGTTTATAGAGGATATGTCTTTAAAAATACAAATTTCTAGGGATTTCCTTTCACACAAATTGTTCATGAGCACCGTGACTTACCTGTAACCACCGCTTGATTGTATGAGGCAGAGAAGCAGCAAAATACGCATGTGGATGTATATCTGCAAGTATTGGTTCAATGTACACACAGAAATGTTGTCGACTGAATTTTGTAATCTGATATGTTAGAGGACATCTGCTCACTTCCATAGATCCGTTGAGATGGGGGACCATTGACTAGGTTGATTTCTCTTAGGAATAGTGGATAGGATGGCTCAAAGATTCTCAGAACCCAGTCACAAGAAACCTTATATCATGGAAAACTTGCAAAAAAAAAAATAATAAATCCAGGAAGGGCCTGTGTTCAAGATGTAAGCTTGGTCGTCAGCCTGACTGGGATTCTTGCCTGTTCACTCCCGTGCTGTTGTTTGGGGAAATGGCAGTCTCTGTTGAATTTTAATTCTCGAGTTGAAGGTTTAGCCCCTGGTCTGATTGTAAGAACTCTGAAGAACATTGGGGTGTGTCAGGTCCCCTCAGCATGCTTCATGCAACTCACAAATCCGATGCACCAGCCTTTATTATTGTGTGTGCTGCATCTGTTGAGTAATTCTAAACGTGCAAATCGGAGTACTTGTGTATTTTGTAAATTCCTTTCCTCTCTCCCAAAGAAAATACATTATTATCATTCCAAGTATCCCAAGACATTAATCTGAGATTTTTGTGTGTGCTAAATGTGATTAAATAGTCTAAAATATCATGGTCTCTCATCATCATTCCTGACTTTTGGAAGGGATATAAATCTTAGAAGAATTCTAGTTCTCTCAGCAAGACATCATCCAAACAGCCCTACCTCTGAAAAATCAGTCCCTACATTCTGGACATGCAGATCTGTGACCAAGGTGCACACTGGCCTTTAGGTTGAGGTCGAACCACCAACAAGGTGTCAACCTGACTGGCAGATTCGGGTCACATTTTCTTATCTCCTCTTCCTGATCATCAGAAATAAGTAACAAGACTCACCAGTCTTGTTTTTGTAGACCTGTGGAATATGGCTCTAGTTCTCGGCATTAAAAATACCTGTTTTTAATCAATATGGTATAGAGTACAGGGGAATTGATGCCTATTCTAATTTTCCACCCTAGTTCTCCCTTTGTATTTTTTTTAAGCATTTGTTTTAATATATATTCTAAAATGGAAACAGTATACTCACAGTAAAGAAATTGCCCCAAAGAACTGACACACAGGAGCACCTCTTCAAAATTAACTATCAGATCTCTGAAGAGGTTGCCAGTCCCATGCACCACCTGTCAGGGGACATCACATTTTAAAAGCATCCCTCTGTGTAAGGGAAGACTTAGCACAGGACTTCCCTCCACTATGAAACCAGCAAAGACAGAATTGAAAGGATTTTACATGTGCATTGGCTGGTGCCAGTCTGACATGCTTAAACAGGACTCTCAGACTCTGAAGGTTAGGAAGAGAGTTGATTTAGGGCGCCCAGGATGGTTGTTGGCCATAACTAGCTGACCTCTGTCCTTTCTCCTTTGCAAAAACCTTTCACAAAACAAGGATGATTTTCTTTTCATTTGCCAAATTTTTATTGATTGACAACCCAGAGGCTACTTGAGAGTGAGGGTTGTGGGCTTCGGTTCCCCTGTTTAACATTTATTAAGCACCTTTTATGTACCTGACAATTATGAAAGCATGACCCAGCCCTTTCCTCTGGGACCTTATATATTGTTTCTATTTAAAATCATAGTTGCTGAGACTATGTATGGTGTGAGCAAAACAAACATGAAATCCTCCAGGCGACTGGATGTGTGGAGCTTGGAGTATGAGCTGTCTTCAAAGAGCCTATGGAGGGAAGACGTGGCAGCCCTTGTTCCAGGCCATGAAGTAAACCTCCCATGTCCAAGGCCATTAAAACTTGGTATCTGAGTCTCTCACTAGTGTTTTCTTTGTACTGACTTGGAATTTTCCTAATGGTCAAAACTCTCTTCTGGCATCTCCAAAGACATCCATCAACGTAATGGCCATTGCTGAGCTGGGCTGCTGTCCGAAGAAAACACTGACTAGACAAGGCATTCAGAGCCCTAGGGGAATCCTGACCAGCCATGCAGCACAGGGAGGAGAAGGAAATGGCCCTTGCCTTCTGAGAGCCACGACTTTGCATGGAAAACACGATATGCAACCTGCCCAACCAGGTCAAGACTGAATACTCCTTCTCCTTCCAGCAGTTTCCCTGAAATTGGAACAGTGACCATGGTGCTTGGGGGCAGTGTCTTTATAAACAGGACCCTTTTGATGTTCATAAAATCATGGCTAAAATCATCCTCTCCCCATAGGAAAGGAAAATCAGCAATAAGCCAAGCCAAGCAGCTAAAATGTCAAGTATGGACGTGATTCTTGCTGAAAGGGAGAAGTCACTCAGATCAGTTCCGTCTCAGGATTTTGTAAAGGTCTGCATGTTCTCTCCTCTGTAAGCTGAGCTGCTCACGTTTGTGAACTGTAATATGTATACTTACTTAACTCCATCCACATGGACCATTCAAGTTTATGAAGTTGAAGTGATTCACCCACCCAGCTAAATTGCAATGTTTATTCTTGTCTCATGTAGAACTACGGCAATCTTAAGGGAACTGTTGGGACAGTGTGTTCCAAATGTTGACAGACACAGCATACACTCACATTCCAGAACCACTGGTACATCATCCAAACAGCTTCCTGAGAAGTTCAGGGAGTGGGTGTGGACAGACAGAGGGGCCCTCCATCCTCATGCATATGATTAACGCTTTGAATAACAAACTCAAAAAAAAATGAATTCTTCAAAGAACCTAGTAAACTGTTCAAAGGAAATTTTAATTTCAGTCTTCTTGAAACCCCTTCTACTGGACACTCAGTGCTGTCATAAATATCCATCCTGTCAATTTCTACTATTTTTCCAGTAATCTAGAGCCTGCTAGGGCAAGAGTAAATGGTACAGAGTACAAATGATGCAAAGTGGGACTTTCATCCTATGGGGTTGTAATATGGCAGGTCCTTAGGGCCTCATCATGCTGAATCACATCCTTTATTCCTCAAAACTTGGTGTTTTAAGATGTTTCTTTATGATACAAATATCTTCTGTAACTTTGCTGCTCTTATTTTATTCTCTAAATTTTTGTAAAACATCAGATTGCAGATTTTCTTTGTTTACAATCTCTTATAGTAGGGCTCAGATCATTTCTAAGCTATGAAATTTTTCTCCCATTTTCATGATGAAGTTCCATTTAAAATGCTGTTTAAGCTTCAAAATTGAGCCCAATTATGAATCTGGGGATTTTTCCTTACATGAAAATGGCATATTCTTTGAAAATATATTGTAACCATCTCTGCTGTGTCTTTGCTTGGAAAACTTGGATTGTTAGTAGCTACAAGGTAACAGTTGCATTTATTCCCAGAGCATTATATGATGGGCCCAATGTGTACCTCAAGATGAAACACAGTATATTATGTCTAAGAAAATTCATTGTGTGTGTTGATATAAATGGTTCTGAAATGTCTACCAATAAATAAGTGTTTGAAATTGTTCTGGCAGTTGTTCCTTAGTGAGTCAGGTGGGATTCTATTTGCCCTCAGTAAGAAGTGGGGAATGTGTATTCAGGGATTCCTAACACTGCAGGCCCATTGTGCATGAAGAGATTGCAGCAATTTTAAATAGTCAGAAAAACCTGGTAACTAGGTAATGGCTGGTCACAGCAAATCCAGTACCTGTATGATCAACAGATGGAGAAGAGGAAGATTGGATGGGCTGGTGACCTTTTAGAGCAAACAAGAACACACATACATGTTCAAGAGCAGGGAGAGAAGGAGGTATTCATTCTCTCTTTGGCTTCCATTTTGTTAAGTGTATCTATTTGAAGCAGTGAGCAGAAGTGGCCGAGAGCACTGGGGGAAAGTCCTAAGCCATCAGCAAGCTGCAGCATCCACCAGTGGCTTACTGAGAGGTTGAAGAGATTGGTTAGGAGAGTTCTTACATAGCCTGAACTTTGACTGCCAACATTTTCTGCCCTAGGTTTTCCTCTTCATCTCCAAAGCATGCATCCTATTAATTAAACCTTCTGCTTACTGTCTAACAGGAATAAAACATCTGAATAACCGTTTTTGTGGTCACCTTTCTGCCTTCTAATGGTGTGTGCTGGAAGGAACTGTAGGTTTGACATAGGTTGGCAAAAAAGAATCCTAAGGATCTATCTCAAGGTCCTGGGAGCATTTTGATCAAGCAAACAAAGGCATTGACTCCTCCATGGGGTAATGCAAAATCAGTTTGAGATTGAAATGCAACAGGTTGGAATCAAATGTCATCCAGTTCCTGAATATCTGAGATTGGGAAAAGTCATATTGAAAGCATCAAATAGCAAGGGGACCAGCATTGTGGTGTAGCAGGTAGAGCCTCTGCCAGCTTCCCATACAGGTACTTGCTTGAGTGCCAGATGCTCCACTCCAATCCTACTCCTTGGTAATGCGCCTGGGAAAGGCAGTGGGAGGTGTCTCAAGCATCTGGGCTACTGTTACTCACCCGGGAGATTCAGATGAAGCTCCTAACTCCTGGCCTTGGCCTGACCCAACCCTAGCCTTTGAAACCACTGAAGGAACAAATCAGCAAATGCAAGACTTCTCTGTGGGCTCTCTCCCTCCCCCCTGAAGCTCTTTCAAATAAATAAATCTTTAAGAAGGGGTTGGGGATGTACAGAAACTATTAAATCAATTTTGATTATAATGAAACAAA